TAAAATTACATTTAATGTATAAATGTAAGTGAAAACTTCTGTCAGTGTTTCAAAGCACAAAACCCTCTTCATATAAAATGAAGAGAGTTCCTTTAAAACTGATGCAGAATATAGTTATACGGAATCTTTAAACCCTTTTATAAGACTGCCAGTCTATTAGCAGGACTGAGTTCTCAGTAAACTCTCCACTCCAATATGTGCAATGGAGCAGCTAATTTCTTTTGGACTCAATCTATGGCACCAAGCTGATTTTTTTTTTAAACTTTACCCAAACAAACTATTAAATAATCAACAAAGAAGAATATTTAACCAAAAATAAATAACAAGAGGAATGATCACTATCCTAAAAACTACAAATTAAAGCGATGTAATCACAAAAGAAGGTTGAGTCATCCATTAAGCAACAAAGAAGAGAGGAAAACAGATTACGGTTCTGATGTTTTTGTGAAATTGGTTGCCTCACAGAAATGTGTACAAAGACCCAAAGAGGATGGATGGCAGGAGCCTGAAATCTCACAGAGATCATTATGTAACAGTACCCAAATACATGCTAGGTGCTTTACAGACGAATAGTACAAAAGGAATAAAAGACTAGTTCCTCTCTCCAAAGACTTTACAATCTAAGGTCCTAATCTTGAAACCACACACCTGAGTAAATTGACTCATGTGAGTAGGTAGTCCCATTTACTCTGATATGACTACTCACATGATTAGCGATACTCCTGTGCATAACTGTTTGCAGCATCACAGGGCCTCAATGTTAAATTAGACACAACGAGCAGCAGCAAAGAACAATGGGGTAAGAACAGGGGAAGTTACATAAATCAGGTCATGTGGCTGCTTAAGTTTATTAGGACTGGTTGAAACGTTTCCATCAAAACTGTCTGACAGAAAACCGAGTTTTCGATTAAATGACATTTTTACTAAAAGTTTGTGGTTTCTGCTGCAACATTTGTTTTTTCATCAAAAGCCCAAGTACCTGGAAAACAAACTTTTGATCTTTGGATGAAAACTAAAATAGTTCAAATTCTGAAATGCTGCCATGGTACCTTATGCTCCCATTCTCATCTATGAGCCAGGCTACCCAACTAAATCATCTCCTAAGATACACCCACTCCCTCCAGCAAGAGGGGAGACTGTGATGCATCTTGAGAAAAGTAGTCTAACAGCAGGGCCGGCTCCAGGGTATTGGCCGCCCCAAGCA